CCTCCTCCTCTCTCTCTCTCTCTCTCTCTCTCTCTCCTCTTTTTTATACAACGGACTTTTCCTTCCCATTTACCCCTCATCATCTATCTAATTACCTTTCCGCCCGCCCCCTGCCCGCCTTCCGTGTGCTGTTGCGACACCAAACACCCGTTCGCCAAACCACATCTCGTCAACACTGTCGAAATCTTCAAAACTCACAGACGTGTTCTCTTCTCGTTGGATTCTCTTACTGTTTCATCGGTGTCTGCTGGGACGGTGCAATAACTGAGCTTAATCGTATTTACGAAATTGTCCTTCTCTTATTTGAACTCACTAACGTAGCCGCACCTCTGCCTGCCGCGACGACCACTGCGGGACCCAATTCTTTGTCCATTCACAGGGCAGGTGACCGAATGGGTTAACAAAAATTGGTAAGATACATTTTCTGAAGATTGTTTAGTGAAGCAATAATGAGAAGGCAGGGAAGGGTGGGATGGGCTTAATAAACAGAAAATTAATGAGAAAAATATAAAGAGGGGACTCCATTAATATAATGTTTTCTTACTACAGTGAGTGTATATTTGGCTAACAGTAAAACAAGTGGACATTAATACTGTGCACATTAATGCATTAATGACAAAAGAAATTATACCATATATAGATATATCTATTTGTTAAGGGATGAGTGGAAGAAGAAAAAGGACCTGTGAAGTCTAATTAATTATTCCTTGATATCATAATTATGGTGCTTCCCCCATGGCTCTGTTTACAGCCTTATGATTGATTACTCATCATTTAACATTGATGTTACACTTCTAGGATTCCAAGTTATAATAAAATTGTGATAATAATAAATTAGTAAAAAAGAAGATAAAGTTTGATGCTCACTGCTTGGAAATCTTTCTTTTATTTTTTTGGCTGATGTTGGGAGTTCTTCTTTTTCTGCAGATTTCTTCTTGTCCAAGAAAATTAATTGAACTTTTGTTTTCCTTATAATGAATGAAGTATAATGTATCATCTAAGATGACATACTATTATCACTGTAATTGCCTCTTTAAGTATGACAAAAGAATAGATTTTTGACTGCAAAAGTATCACCAAATGGTTTTGTGTTTTGTTTGACTGATTTCTTAATTGGTAAAATATATTACAATCATTGAAGGATGTTTTGTCACAGTGCTGGAGTAAGTCCAGCATGCAAGAAATCTCTATATATCCTCAAATGTTATGGCCTCAAGAATACATAGAATCCAACTTTGACAGATAAGATCATCATTCATTCAAGAACAAGACAAAGTCTTTCCACTAATATGTAATGTTTTCTTGAAAGTGATATATAACTAAACATACATAATGCAAGAGCTTTTATAACCTATCATTCATTTAAGACAAGTGGATGAGCATATGAACACAAGGAATTGTCTCATTGGAGTTATTATTGTGCAGAAATTGATTGTCTTTGGGTACAAATGAAATGATAGCAGGTTCTTTGGTGAGATTCAAATACCTTCTTTAGTTATTAATATAATTTGGTGAAGACATTAGATCTTTTTTTGATACTATTCAAAGTGAGTTTAGGAGATCAAAATGATTTAAAGTGGAATTTAAGGAATTAGAGATGAAAATATTTTCTAATTACTTGTGCTTTCCATGAGATCATTATTGTCATACCAGTGGAGTGGCGTGGGCAAGAATAGTGATGATGCAGGTGAGAGAGGAGCACAGACAATGCGACTTTGTGTGTCCCCCATCTTTGATCACCATCGCTCGGGCCACCGGCGATCAATTAAGAAACGGCTGCAACTCCTTGGCCCGCCTGTTGCAGGTTGTGGCCATCGTCCCCTTCCTGTTGTGAGGTCTCCACCGTTAACTCTGCAGTGGAGTGAACGAACAACAGCAGCCCTCGCAGCGCTGAGCCCCCAGTTCTTGCACTGCATGAGATGGTAGGTACCACCGGTTGCTATTTGCTGCAGAGAGAGCAGTGAGGACATCGACTGTTGGTTGATGCTGCTCCCTGGCTTTCATGGAAATCTCTGAACTTGGTACCTTCTCTTGTATTTTAGAATTAATGAGTGTTTTCAGAGTTCTTGATGAATCAAAATTTATTATTATAAGCATATCATCGATCTCAAAAGTCTTGATGAGAAGGTAAAACATAAAAAAAATTATTTTGGATACTATTGTACGATAATTTAGATATTATATAAAAAAATATTTTTTCATTTTTTATAAGTAAGATTTGTTCAAGAATGTTATTAATATTTTTTTTTTTTTGACATCCGAGTCATTTGACACAATCCATAAATACCCTATTTCTATTCGAGTCCCTTCATCGTACCTAATTAGGTTGGTTCTGATATCAAATGTTGGATTTAATGAGTTAACTGACTTATCAATTTCGTTTGATTCAAACTATTGATCAAAATACTTAAGCTGAAATTAGTAGTGATATACCACGTAATTTTAAATCTTATTTATTTTTAATAGATAATTAATTAAGATATTATAATTTTATTTTTTATTTATTAAATGCTAAGCTACACTACTAATTGACAATCCATGATAAACTTCAAACTCGTTCTTTTTTTTATTTATTTAAGCTATAAATAAATTTTAAGGTTGCATAAACATATTATTAACATGAGGATGACATCATGGACATGAATGATTAAAATGTGAAGTAATAATACTTGTATAAGAAATAGTATATATATATATATATATATATATACTCTTTCCTGTTCACATTGATTGGGCCAACGCTTGTTTGCACGGCTCCTTCCACTATATCGTTCGGATTCGAATCCGATATCCCATTCACAGATGGATCCGTACCCGATCAGCCGAAGCAACCCTACTCCTAAAAATCGCACTTATACGGCCTCCTTCATCGCTGCGCGTTAGTGGCGGCGGCGGGATCTCTATTAGCTCCGCTCCGCGGCGGTGGCGGTGGCGGTGGCGGTGGGTGGAGTTAGAAACCCTTGGTCTGTTTTACTATTGCGGACATTTGTAGGCATCTCTATCTTCGAGTTGTGATGCCTTCGCTTCGTTCCTGCTTTACAGGGTGAAGCAAGAAGTCTCCTTTCTCCTCGTTGCTTTACTTGTTGGAGCCAATGAGCGCGTTACTCTCTTCGAAACTGTCCACAGGTCCGTGCTACTGATTCTATTTGATTCTAATTGCTGTTGTCCTATGTTTTCTGGTGGTCATGTGTATGTTTAGTGTTGCATGGACTTATAAGATGAGATTTGTATGCCTATCAATGTACCCAAATGGGCATACTCGAGACGCTGATGCATTTACGTGAACGATTAGAAGAACGTAGATACACATTGATGATTGTAATGGGTTCATCTTTCAAATGTCCGGCCGAACCCTTTTGTAATCAATGTTTCGGTGCCACTCTTTATTTCAAAGTCCAGATTTAAGATTCAAAATTAATTGTCATTTTGTTAGATATCTCTCTCGAATCATTCGATATATATTATTTGTAGCTTTGAACCTTTATATGTAGGAAAAGTATAAGGAAGTAACTTATTGTGGCATTATGATCTTCTTGAATGTAGTAGCCATTATACAAAAGGTGATACATAACTTTGTGTATTTTCTGTTTGTTTATTTCCTTGTTTTGCCTTCTTTTATTTACTTATAACATTTCAATTATATTATTATCTAATATGAACTTCCATCAGTGTAGCATTTATCGTCATCCGCAATCTTAACCAGATTGACTATATTATGTTGTACCATGGTTGCACAGTGCACCTAAAGAACTCCTATTGAACCTGCCATTTTAATTTTATCAAGATTTCGTGCATAGAAACAATGAAGAGTCAATATTGATATTGTCTATAACATATCATGCATTGTTAAACAAGCTTCTTCACTTTCTTTTTAATTTTGATACATACAATCAACTTTTTAGATACCGATCAGAGCACTATGTTCAGACCAATGTTCACTAGTACAACCAAGTATTCACATTGAAACTTATAGATGAAGACTGGTTCACATACCATTTATTCTATATTATTTAATATAATGGTGTCAGATGGTATAGGTTGATGTATTGTCCAGTATATTGGTATTGTACTGATATAATAGATCATCAAAACTAGTACGGGGTTGGTGTTTAAAACCTTTTTTGTGATTGTCCTAACATGTGTCACATCGATGTAGTTGGACGATCTTTGATTCGGAGCTTCGGCAATGATTTGTCAGGAGCAAAAGCACCTCATGAGACGATGACAAATCTGAGTTACCAATATCTTTTCCTTCAGGTACTACTGCATTGCTGTCTTTTCATCTAAGTTGTTAAATCCAATTTTTCTCTTCAATTTTTGGTTAATGGATATGCCCAATGATGATAACTAATGTAGTTTGCCAGGTTGATAGTAGAGACTTGTCTTTCCTTCTGTTAAGCTTGTGAGAGCTGGATTGGAGAGGCTTCCCACTTACTACCAGACTTTATAATCCAAAACAAAACATTGCAGTAAAAATGAATCTGCAAGCACCCTGCCACATCTCCTGACTGTAGAAGACCCCTGTTGGTCGTATCTGTGAATAAAATAAACTTGTCCATTCAACTTGACATGAGGTCCCTTCTATCTGATTGTGTAAATAATGCTGGATGGGCTAATCATTGAATATTCCACTCCTTCAAGTTATGCTATAAATTGTTTGGCCTAAATATTAAATTGGTCGTTATGCATTTTCTCTCAGCTCTTCATCTGCTTCATCCTCTGTTTGCACTTCCATCGTTATTTGTCAACTCATTTATCTATTTTATTGACCTCTATTAGAATTTAACACCGCCACCATCTCCTCCACTGCTATCCATTACCATTGCAGGAACTATAGTGAGTAGTGACACCAACATGGCAAATTTACAATTTTTCGTGTCACCATGGCCTTTACAGTTACTGTAGCTTATTCTCTGGTACCACCAACACTGCCTTTGTCACCAAACCATCTTTTTCCACTCCGTGTCTGCTGACGCCACCACTTTCAATGCCACCTCTGCAGTTTTACCATCCACCTCCCACCCATCCTCACCACACCATATACCCGCCTTTCCAATCAATTTTGACTTTTATGAAGGCTAAGCATGAAGAGATAGGGTGGAGATGATGATAGTACTTAACCAGTGGACGGTTTATAATATCACTTTCATATTAGATATATCTCATTTTTCCTTTCTAAATAGTGGGAGGCCTCTGACTAATAAGAAGGCATGGCGGTTTTTTGTGATAAACAGATGGTTTATGGCAATTATTTCTTCTCTAAAGAATTTGCAGGCAAACTTTCTTTATAATGTACTTCAGATTTTGTAGTCTATAGTTTGATTTTTTTTTTCCTTACTGAACTGAAACAATTCTCTCGATCCCCAAAATTTAGTTTGTTTGAAAATTTCTGCACATCCCAGTTATTCCAAACTTATATTATAATAAATTGAAGAATTCAATAAAAGAAGAAACAGTTTGTTGTGGATGAATAATGGACGAATTAAGAAAAGCTGAAAGTGCTGTTTGTCATTGCAGCAACAAAGAACATTCATACAGATGAGGACAAGGCTCAAAGTGGTGGACAACTCTGGTGCAAAACGTGTCATGTGCATACAAGCTTTGAAAGGAAGGAGAGGAGCACGACTGGGTGACACCATAATTGCATCAGTAAAGGAAGCACAACCTCATGGTAAAGTAAAGAAGGGAGATGTGGTTTACGGTGTAGTGGTGCGTGCTGCCATGCAGAGGAGTCGCTGCGATGGCAGTGAGATCAGGTTTGATGATAATGCAGTAGTCCTCGTGAACAAGCAGGGAGAACCAATTGGTACCCGCATTTATGGGCCGGTGCCTCATGAGCTTAGGAAGAAGAAGCATGTCAAGATTCTAACTTTGGCTGAACACATAGCCTGAGTGTCCAACCTTCATGGGATGTCATACTTCTGTTTAGGGCTCCTCTGGATAACTTAAGTTCGTCTTTCGATGATCTTTCCATTGGATAATAGAACCTACATTGTGTTTGGTAATCAGATGCAAATCTAAGTGTGGGTCATATCTTTACCCAGCATCACTCTCATGGTTTTCTTGTGAAAATGAATCATGCAAGTTAAGATTCTTACTATACTACTTTTCCATGTGCTGTCAAGTATTATTTGGGTGTCATCTTGGCATATTCATCAGTGGGAAATTGATCCACTGAGCTTCATTTATTAGAGTTCAGTGATGCCCACTCCAAACTTGCATCACAGTTGCTGCTATTTTTCGTACTTAAAATCTCTCCTTGGTTGGACTTCAAGAACCTATGTGATGGAACAATGAGGAATGGATGCAACCATTCTCTTATAACAAGATTACATGATCCTGAACCCCAAAACTTCAATACTGTACTAGTTGTGATCCCAGAGTCTCCTTCCAGTGAAACTATTGTCTGCTTAATTCAGATTTGCCCTGGTTTTATAATCAATGATGACTCTTTTTTGTTCTCTCAGCAAGTTTCTTGTCGATAACAAGCCTAGTATTACAAGCATAAACCGAAGCTTGTCTCAGCAAGTTTCTTCTATGGAATGTTCAAAGACAAAATCAAGAGCAACGAAATATTGAGTGTTTGTCATAGCATCTGTTCCGATGAGTACAGGTATCAGACACTAAATCATTCTACACTGTCACATTTGAATCTTTTCCATCATCATCTGTTTCCTTTCTCCAGAACCTGAAACGAGCAGCCCTGTGTTCCAGCATCTTCTCCACCTCCTCGATCGGCAGTCCCTTTGTCTCCGGCACACAAATCAGCACAAAGAACAAAGCGATTACCGATATCACACCAAAGATCAGGAAGGTCCATGAGGCCCCAATTGCTTCGGTTAGCGACAGAAATGATTGCGCCACGATCAGATTGGATATCCAATTTGCAGTCGCAGCAATTCCCCCACAGACTCCTCTGAATCTTAGAGGATATATCTCAGAGTTCACAATCCATGGCACGGTCCCCATCCCTGGTGAAAAGAAGATGATATATAGTGCCAAGCCGATCAGAGCTAGCCATCCAAATCGGCTCGGGCATCCTCTTGTGTACCATAGCCTGTTCTCGCCATGGCACAGATCCTTCACCGTTGAATTGGAGATCAAACATGCTCCAGGATATAGCTGAAATTGCGAGAAGCAGTAGTAGATGGAGATGGTGCATCAGATAATTATTTTTAGTACAATATGAGATCAGAAATCATGCTTGATGAGAGTTACTGACCTTATCGGCAGCAGCAGCACAAAATCCACAGTCTGGAGACGATGCTTTCAAGCATTTCATGCAGTCCCAACCAGTAGCCGAAGCAGACTGATAAGCTGGGCAGCTGTAGGCTGCAAAATGAGCTGTTTCCTGTCTACTAATACTAGGTGAGTGAGAAGTTGTCTCATGGAAGACAGCCGATAGAACACCGAGAGAAAGAACAACACCGCACAAGCTGATGATCAGAAGCTTCTTCCTCCCTGTCCTGTCTATGAAGTAAATACTGACGATGGAACCCAAGGCATTGAGACCGGATGTCACCAGTGAGAGCGCAAGTGCTGTCTGGTTCGACGTGAAGCCAGCTAATTGAACTATGGTGGGACTGTAGTACATGACAGTGTTGATGCCCACAAACTGCTGAAACACCTGCAGTCCTACTCCCGCCACAAGACCGCGCCTTACTGTCTTAGTTTTCAGCAGCTTGATGAGGTTAATCTTCTTGGATGATCCTTCTGCCTGGATCTCAGCTTCAACCGATTCTTTCAAGGCTTGGACCTCTCCTTCGACCTCATTTGCTGGATATATCTTTCTCAGTATGGCTTCAGCTTCTTCTTCCATTCTCTGAAAGAACGGTTTCTAATTATTCTTCTATTCGTACATACACATATACATATATCGAGGAAACTTAATCACCTTTCTATAAAGCCACCGAGGTGATTCAGGAAGGAACAGCATCAATATAAACTGTGTTAGAGCAGGAAGTGCAGCAACTCCAAGCATCCATCTCCATGTTCCAGGTGCCTGAAAACAAGTGATCATCGGTTAGATGCAAATCTCTTTTGTCCATAGAGAACCCAAATTCTTGCTTGCAAGCTTCCTTCTCGGAGTAATGGAGATTGGTTTTCAAACATAAAGATCAGATATAACATATCTTCTTATGACATTTGACATTCTAGTGTTCATCTTAGTGTTTTTTTTTACCTTTGTGAAGGCTAGGTTGATGAGATAGGAGAGGAATTGACCCCCTGTGATGAGGAAGCCATTGGTGCTGACCAGTGCTCCTCGGATTCTTGCCGGTGAGGCTTCTGATATGTAAAGAGGGGATGTCATTGAAGCCATCCCCACTCCGAGGCCAACAAATACACGACCTACAATTAGGAGTGCAGGATTAGGAGCAGATGCCATGATCACAGCACCTGCAAAAAAAAGGAAGTCGGCGACCAATATCGTGGTCTTCCTTCCAAAACGGTCATTCATCCATCCACCAATTGCTGCTCCTATGATTGCCCCTGCAACTGCAGTGCTCACAATGCTCTCCTGTATGTTTCATCACCATGAAAATTTAGTAAACCACAGTTTGTTGAAGTAGATAAAGTATCATTTTATTTACCGGTGCAGAATACAAAAGAAGTAATTGCTGAAGGACAAATTTCGAAGAAAGTTGGAAGAGTTCAAATATGATGATGATGATGTGGTCGATGCAGAGTTCAAATATTCCATCAAAAAGGTTCTTCTCTTATCAGCTAATATTCTGATAACCTTATCACATAGTAATCCATCTTCACAAGTGCGGTAAAGGAAAATTACAATTTCAGTAAAGCATGTTCAAGAGGTGGCTCATCACCTGTAACCATGTCTTCTTATCCACCGAAGGGAAGTCGTCGCGAATGTAAAGCAATGCTCCAGAAATCACACCTTAAGACCATAAACAAGAATAATAAGTTGCTGAATCTTATAATCAGTTACAAAAGACAGCATGTGTCCATCATCAAATTAGAAAACCAGCCCAATCAGTCAGGACAGTTCACTTGATTAAGAATTAGTGTACATAGCTTTTTGAATTCATGGACTCAATTAATATGTTAGCAATCAGCTTTGTCTCATCATCTGCATGTTGACCCAAAGGAATAAGACACCTTCTTTTCTCATGGATTCATTTATCCGAAAGCATCATTCGAAGCTTGATTATTCGAGTATGTTATGTGCAGTCTATAAAATCATGTTCTGCTAAACAAACATCTCTATCTCAACAGCTTAGCCAATTGCTTCATTCAAGTGAGTCAGCAGATTAGGTGAATCTTCAATCAATCAACACCGATGTTTATGCAGAGAAAACCAGCTTTGGGAGTTCTATACTCATATTCAAGATAGCTTGTGAAGAACTAGGTTGGCACTTTGTATATATGTTCTGCACAGTTTTACTGTGTCTTAACATCAACATTGAGGTACCAACAGAGGATGAACAGCATAAATAAAAGGAGAACACAGTCGCCCAAATCCGTGACAGAGAAATGAGGACAACAAGAAGGTCATTGTTCTCAGAGCAGTTAAAGAAAAGGGGTCAGAAACAAATGATTCTATTTCCTCTTCCCCTGCATCATTATCCATTCTTTCATCTTCTACCCTTCTTTATTGCTTGTTTTTGTTGCAAAATCCCAAGGCGCAACCTAATTAGTCTGATGTTTGTTTGCTTGTTTGTTTGCGTTCATAAATCATTCATCGGATCAGGAAATAGATGATGCTTCCCTTGGATTAGATTATTAAACATTTTAGCTTCAAGATTAATGACAATAATTAAACATGAAAGCATCACCTACCAAAAAGGAAAGAGAGATTTACCAGTATCATAACCAAAGAGCAGACCACCGATTCCTGCAGAAAACGCCAGCCGAAGCACATACGGATTTCTCCACGCCAGAGAGAAGCACTCTCTGAAGGCGGACCCATCCACCTCATGAACTCCTCCTTCCATGAGTGCTTAGAGAGTGACAGAGAAGAGCAAGGCCTTCGAGCGTACGTGCACCGCGTCAACACACATCAGATCGGTGAGGTCGGCGGAAAACTCCGGGAGCTGTTGAACGAGAAATCAATTCCAGCGTGAGATTTGGAGAGGGTCCGGCGTGACGCTATCGTCTTTGGTAGCTCCCTGTGGTCTTACTTGGGGACGCAAGAGAGGAGAATTCATGGAAGTCTCTGTCGTCCTCCCATTGACTACCGTTATCGGCAGTGGAACGCCGTCGGCGCACTGAGCATTCTCATTTATGTGAGAGCGACAGGGAGAGGAAAGGAAAATAATTTTATGAATAAAGAAAAATGTGAAATACTTATAATGACCAAACCATTAGGAAAGGAAAGATATTTTGAATTCATCATTGACAATAATTTGTGTTCATAAAAAATCTTTCAATTTTGACTTCCTAATGACGAAATAAATAAATAAAATGATATAACAATTAAGCTGGTCGAGCTATGATGGATTGTGCCATATATATATATATATATATATATATATATATATATATATATATATATATATATATATATATATATATATATATATATATATATATATATATATATATATATATATATATATATATATATATATATATATATATATATATATATATATATA